CTTTACATCTGAGGCGTCCAAAGACTCCATTTGTCCATTATTTATTTCTAAAGAAACACGACAATGTATAAAAGACTCCATTACTTTGTATCTTACACGTTATGGCCCCGTAGAAGCCATTCTTGTAAAAATAGGCTAACGATTGCGTCATAACCACGGGACGCTCTGTCGTACAGTAGAGAAATTACCGTGTAGACAGAAGGAGAAGCTCGTAGGCAATCGTTTACTGTCTATGAGGCAATCGGGTGGACATGGAGGCATAAAGTCAAGGGAGAAGCCCATAGATAGAGAGTTCATAAAAGCAACGGGACAAAATATTTCAACAACAGATTTGTTTCAGATTTCAATTCAGATTTGTCCCGGCACAGCTACTAGAAGGTCAGATTTGTCCCGGCACAGCTACTAGAAGGTCAGCTCGTCGTCAAGCTCAGTTTGAGCCTGCGCCGTGCGCTTGGCTATCAGGAAGTGAGTGCCCATGTTGGGCTTCAACTCTCTCCGTTGAAATCAACGGGGTCGCTGTGTCCATTTCTTTTACTGTCTATGGTCCAAAGACTCCACCTCCAACCTGAAGAAGCATCTTAAAGTACAATCCGCTTGCCAGCCCATTCACTCTCAACAGCAGTCCATCTTCCAGCTCCTAACAATGCAATCGCCATGGAACCACTACCAGTCCCAGCCCATCTCCGTTTCCTAATTCTATCAGGTGCAACTATCGATCTTCCTTCTCTACTGACTTTCGTCCCTCTCAATGAATCCCACCGCTCGTTTGACTTAAATCGTTGATCTTACAAATTCTGTACAACCTTCAAAACGAGTTCTCTCACTTTCAGAATTTTGCGTTGCTTTTGCCAGATACACAGAAGTAATTTGCTCTTCATTTCCAGCCAGACGCAAGGAATTAAATGACTACCTCTCTACCATAGCAGAGCTCAGTCTCTCTTTCGGAGGTAGTAATTTTTATACATACCATAAGCTTTTCCAGCTAAATCCTAAATGCGCCGCCCGCGTCACACCCTGGAACCAGTGTCCTTACTGGGAGCCTTGGACCTCGAACTATATAACAGAGTCTTCTTAGGCGTTCGAAGCCCTTCTTGCGCCATCTGCAGGTCTATCATTCATTCTACTTCAGAATGTCCCCAAACCAACTCAGATCTTCCGAACCATCCAGCTCCTTTCCAAGAAAAATCCACTTGATATGTCCCTCAATCAAGGAATGACCGTAACCAGATTTCTACCTCAGTTCCAGGCAGACAAGTGTGCAACAGCTTTAATTCATCACGTTGCAACAGACAACGATGCCACTTCCTCCATGTCTGTAATTTCTGTGGCGGAGCTCACGCCCGTTCTATGTGCCCTGTGCGGCGCTCCTTTAGCTAACTTTAACCGTCGACATTCTTAGCGTCTGCCTAACCACTCTCCGCTCAGGTCTTGTTCTCCTAACAAAACAAGAGCCCCAGACGCCATGTTCAATTTGGCTTTCTTCCGATCACCAAATCAAAATGCTAGGTCGATGGTCGTCCCTCGCCTTCGAAACATACGTTCGTTCAGATCTGCATAACATTAGGCAAGCACAGCAAACACTAGCATCCCTCTAAGTCTGGACCGCTTCTCCCTACTATTTTTGCATCTCCCCGCTTACCTAGCCCCGCAGGGCGTGTATTCATCTGGATGCAGTGAGAGCTCTCCCTTTTCAGATGTGCGTGACCTACCACTCCTGGAGTGGGGTCTCCCATCTGAATCGCCGTGTGGGCTCTTCCGTTCAGAAGCATCATAGGCTCTCCCGTTCGACTCGCTGTGTGGGCTCTCCCGTTTTGATCGCCGAGTGAACTCCCTATTTATACATATGGGGGGGCTCTCTCCTTCGAAACGCTGCGGGAGCTCTCCCGGTCGAATTGCAGTGTGAGCTTTCCGTTCGGGCGCCGTGGGGGCTCTCCCTTTCCGAATCGCTGTGTGATCCTTCATGTTTTTAACCATGGAGGCTCTCCCGTTCGGATCGCAGTGTGGGCCCTCCTATCCGAATAAATCAGGACTGGAGGTACCAAGGATCGTACGTCCCTCGAACGCGACGGGCCATTGTGTCTTTATGTGATCTCCGCCCCCTGCGTCAGAAGGATGGTAGTTCTGCTTTTCCTATGTATACCGTAGGCTCCCTCTTGCTGCGTAGGGAGTTTCGCTTCAGACACCGGTGGCCCGTTCGCCTTTAGGGACGAGGACCTTCTTCCCCATTTGTGACATCTGGAAGCCCCATGTTCTCTAACTCCATGGAGCTCCATGTCATGGATGTGGCAGGGCGTTCTCCAACCTCGTACTCAAACCTCCAGTCCCAAGATACTCCCGCAGGAGTAATTTCTGAAAGTCACTGCCGCAGCAGTGCAGCGGTGAGATGTACCCCAGTCAAATTTCCACAAGCCCATGTCGTTTCACTCCACAATGAACGCAGGCACACTCTTTCAAACACAGCTCCCGCCGGAGCTCCACTCATAGCCCCACATGGTGGGCATAGTAGGGAGACGCAGTTCCAGCCAGGAGCCCCTTTAAACATATCACTGCCGCAGCAGTGTCCATCCATGCTCCATACAGCTTTCAATTTCCACTCTTTTGGGGGGTAACATACTTTAAGCTTATAGGCATCCCGTATTTGATCACGTTATTCTAACTTGCTGTCCCAAATATTTATTCAACACTTTTGGGGGGTATATCAGAGCTCGAGTTGAAGCTGCTTCATCGAGCCCCTCTCCAGCGGACAGCAAGCCAAATAAGTTTAACCTAATATCTTAAAGATTTTATGGGCAAACGAACTCGTTAAATGAAGTTCCTAAACGTAAATTAGGGAGGAGCGAGCCCATCCAATCTTTCAATCAACAAACAGAGTATATAAGCAGCCGCTTACCTCTCCCTAGTATCAGCTGTTCCAGTATCCCTCCACCTCCCCAAACTCCACCTTCATCTTAGGTACCTTGCCCTTTAATTAACAGGTCCTACATTTAGCCACTGGGGGGTATATCAGAGCTCGAGTTGAAGCTGCTTCATCGAGCCCCTCTCCAGCGGACAGCAAGCCAAATAAGTTTAACCTAATATCTTAAAGATTTTATGGGCAAACGAACTCGTTAATCACAGTTTTGTATGAAAGTAGAAAGAAGATAAACTTATTTTGCTATAACTGATATCAGAGTCAAAATCTTGTTTTATTTCTCATCATTTTATATAATTAAAAGGTCCTAAATGTGTATTTAATTGATCTTATATCGCCCTACAATCCATCACCCTCTTTAAGGTCACAAACCTCTGGACTTTTAATATTACCTAGGATATCTAAGTCCACTAAAGAAGGGAGAGCGTTTTTGTATTTGGTTTCTAAACTCTGGAATAGCCTTCCTGATGATGTTTGGGGCTTAGAGACACTATCCCAATTTAAATCTAGATTAAAGACACATCTCTTTAGCCAAGCATTCACATAATGCACCTCATAACCTTGTACTTCAGTTATTTCAGATGAAATGCACATGATTATCGTTGCTTAAAATGTTATGAACAGCAGCTACACTAATTACTTTCCATTCGCTTTTCTATTTTATCTCGGGATGCCCATCCTGAGCTACCTAGAGACTACGTCAGCTCCAGTTTGGATCCAGCCTCTTACAAAGGCTTCAGATGCCACAACACCTGTGAAGAGACGACTCCAACTCCTGTGAGGACCTCAGATGACGCCAACTCTGAATCAACACGCACCAATGCTACATTTCTATATCTTATAACATATCTATAAAGATAAATCTTTAATTATATCTATAACTTGTAATAATTACTTTAATGAGCTCATTGTTTCTGTCTAAATCCAGGTAGATGCTGCACATTGGTGGTGGTTGAAGAGATTAAAGTGCTTTGCATGGCGAGAAAAGCGCTATAGGCTATGTAAATAATTATTATGTATTATTAAATAATACATGATGTTAGCTAACTGTGTGAATTGTTAGCTAACTGTGTGATTTGTATAGTACACTACATTTCTGAAATAAATTACTTGGATACATTCACCTCTGATGTAGACAATTTGTAATGTAGACACATGCATTTTCTGTAAAGCTGCTTTGAAACTATATGTATTGTGAAAAGTGCTATACAAATAAATGTGAATTGATTTGAATTGAAAATATTAAAAAGCTTTTTGTAGTCAATACTTCAAAAAATGAACCTGTACCCTGAAAAATATTCACTGAAGTAGAAAGTGTGAAAACTAACCCCGGTCTGCGCTATCCTAACTGCAACAGTCTAATACACACCTTTGACTTCGCATTCCCTCGTGAACAATATGGCCTTAAATGCTTTGCTCATATCATATGGCACAATAGACAGGAATCATGAATTAAACCACAGAAAAAAAATCGACCTTCCGATAATTAGGTAACGTCTTTAACCTCGAAAATAAATAAACGAGAGGAATGTAATACCTTGGCTACTTCAGATTTAGTGCACCGTCCACAAACACCTGATGATGCGCTCGGGCTGCAAACTCATATTTATAAATCCTAACTGAACCAAATAATGATCCATGAAGAACATTGCCCAATAAGAGGCGTTTAAATCTCCCCTCGGATTCAATACTTTAAATGCAGATTTTACAAGCAGTATATCGTGCTTGCAGCATATTAACCACAGCAAGCGATAGAGTGAAATGATTTCTGCGGATAGCGCGTGTCCAGATGGCGTCTTTACGCATAATGTAGGAGCGCGCGCAATCCTGCAAACTGTTTATATTGTAACGCATAGTGATTAGACTTGGCTGAGATTGATTAACCAAAGGAAAAAAAAAACAGTTTATGGGTCACTCACAGTTTATAAGGATAACATGCTGATTTATAGACAGACTGATCTTGCATTGCGGTCAGTGAGTGTGTTTGAGAAATTAAAAGCAAATGGGAGCGAGAGAGAGAGAGAGAGAGAGAGAGAGAGAGAGAGAGAGAGAGAGAGAGAGAGAGAGAGAGAGAGAGAGAGAGAGAGAGAGGGGGAGGAGGGCGCGCGCAAGTGTTCCACCTAAGCACACAGCTCGGATGCTGACAGACTAAAGTTTCGTCGGCTTGTGTGAATGAGGACAACTTCCAATTAAAGGAATGATGCAGAATCAAAGACATTTTGGAATTCTACACCTTGGATTTTTTTTATGGACGTCGTTTTGTATTAAAGGTAGGTGCTGCTGTTTTTCTAGTTTAAGTAATTTGCGTAACACAATTTACTTGATTGATTTGTAATAGGCTAGTAAAAGTGAACTCCGCGAAGGTGCATCGTATCTAGATGAGTTGCTTTTACTTGTTTTAAAGTGTAACTTGGCGTGAATAGTACGTAGCTAAAGTAGGCTATGACAAAATAATTACTTAGACTTACTGAATTAGAGCTAGGATGGATCATTTCACTGTATAAAAATATGAGCATTTATGTTTGTTTTTATGTTCTTGAGTGTCTGTGTGCGATTTGCCTTGCAGCACATCGACCTCGTAATACCCCGTAACATCTGGCATGATCGCACTGACAACTGACAAAAATATAGTTAAACATCCTTAGATCTGCTCGCCAATACGCCGATGTGAGACGCAAGCAGCCATGTAGCAAGGACATGATCGAGGGATTTATAACCTATAATTTCAGGGTAGGCTATAGGCCTAATAGGTTGGCTCATTGCATGAATGCGCGCGCATCAAGTGCATGTCTATATGCTTGACTTTTGATACTTTCAATAACGCCTTGCTCAATAATTTTTTTTTATGCGCGAGTGATATTATGCCTGAGTGGCATTTAATATTGATTAAATCACGTTTCAGACAAAAATTGACGAGTTGGTATTCCTTTGCTGACACAGAAATTTGTTCCAAAAGAAACCAAAGGATCAATCTTTGTTTGTAAACACAGAAAAGCAGGCTGATATAAACAGTGAAATGTCCGATTGACTGTATATCAGCACTTTTGGAACATCACTCAGCCAAACAAATGTTAGGAACGAAACTTTGTATAATCCTCATCTCTTACACATTAGCATTGGAACGGTTCCTCTGTACATTTAGGCCTACTTGGTTTGTGTCATGATGACTTTTGGATAAGCAACACATTCTGTTGCTGAGACATGAAAGAGGTCTCTTAGTGTCCTTTTATTTCCCTTGAAGCCAAAGCAATGAAAGCATGATTAAAACTCTTAGATTGATTTTGTCTGGACATTCAGTGTGTGTGGGGGGGTTTTACTTCTAACCATTTAAGGTCTGGGATTGCCCTAAAACTATTTACAGAGGTCACTCTCACACAGCTGTGCCAATTATGGTAATATTATAATGCGGACTGCAGATTTCTTTAAAAGGTAAAACATTTGCAGACAATGGCCTCTGGATTCCTGGATCACTCATATCTATTCTTTAATAATAAAATTGTGGGCAATGTTGTCTGAATTCAAATTCAAGGAAGTGCGCCAGCGCGAGCAGGACGCAGATCCAGTAGCTCCGTACGTGTTGTGTTATTTTTAATACTTTAAGTGGTTTAAAGCACTTAACTCTTTATATAAAACTTGCTGTGTAAAACCTTATATATCCTATGGATACAATGACTTTTTACGGACAATACAGCGGTGGACAACTTGTTTATTCAAGGGAGAAGCTGCTTTCACTCCAAACAATGCGACGAGCCGGCATTTTTCACCACATACCTGAGGAGTTGAGGAAGAGGCACCGAGGATGCAGAGCCGGAGTGAAGGTGAAGGCTAGACAAGCGGCTAAGCGGTGGAAGTACAAGCCCGCAGTTCCGTCGATAGTGATGGGGAATGTGAACTGTCTGACCAACAAAACGGATGAGCTCGCTGCCCTTGTAAGGACGAACAAGACGTTCAGAGAGTGCAGTTTACTTTGCCTCTCTGAAACCTGGCTAACCCAGAACACTCCAGATGCTAATGTAGATCTATTTGGTTTCACTACAGTGAGAGCAGACCGGGACTGGGGACGCAGCGGCAAAAGCAAAGGTGGGGGACTCGCACTGTTTATTAACAACAGATGGTGCAACCAGGGGCACGTTACGGTGAAGGAGATCGTTTGCAACAGAGATATTGAGTTGCTGGCGGTAGGTCTCAGACCGTATTACATGCCTAGGGAGTTCTCCCACGCCATTGCTGTTGTTGTTTACGTTCCTCCGCGTGCGCACGCAGAGAACGCATGTGACGTAATCCACTCCACCATTGCGAGACTGCAAACACAACATCCGGATGCATTCATCGCCATTTCCGGGGACTTTAACCACGTGACATTGGACTCCACACTGTTTGACTTTCACCAGTTTGTAAACTGCCCCACAAGAAAAAACAGGACATTAGATCTCCTGTATGCAAATGTGAGGGAAGCTTACATCGCCACTCCTCTGCCTCCACTGGAAAAAGTCTGATCACAATCTGGTCCTCCTCACGCCACAGTACAAACCACATATCCAGAGACAGCCCACGACCAAACGCTCCTTTAGGAAATGGTCTCCTGAGGCAGCGGAGGCTCTGAGAGACTGCTTTGAATGTACTGACTGGAGCGTCTTGCAGGAAGTACATGGGGAGGACATTGAGGGGGTCACACACTGCACTACTGACTACCTGAACTTCTGCATGGACGTTGTGGTCCCCACTAGAACGGTACGCTGCTTCCCCAATAACAAGCCCTGGATAACCAGTAATGTCAAAGACATACTAAACAGGAAGAAGAGGGCATTCAAGGATGGTAACAGAGAGGAGCTGAAGTGTGTACAGGGGGAACTCAAGGTCCACTTGAGAGAAGCAAAGGAGGATTACAGAAGGAAGATAGAACAAAAGTTGCAGCACAATAACATGAAGGATGTCTGGGATGGCATGAAAACCATCACAGGCTGTAAGAAGAAGGGCAGTATCACAGGAGAGGGGGATGCTGGGAGAGCAAACCAGCTGAACCAGTTTTTTAATAGGTTTGATACACCACCTCCCATAACCAGCGACACCCCACTACATGCTCCCATGTCCATCACTTCCCCCAATGCCACCACCATGTACATTACCACCTCAGACTGCAGACCACCACCACCCTCCACACACAGGGACAGCTCAACACCCCTCCCCATCACCATTACCAAAGATCAGGTGAGCAGAGAGCTGAGGAGGCTACGACCAAGAAAAGCAGCGGGCCCGGACGGAGTGTGTCCAAGGATGCTTAAAGCCTGCTCTGCGGAACTGGGGGAGCCACTTCAGCATGTCTTCAACCTGAGCCTGCAGCTGGGGAGGGTTCGGGTGCTCTGGAAGACTTCATGTCTCATCCCGATTCCCAAGAAAAAAACACCCAGGGAGCCGGGCGACTATAGACCAGTAGCACTGACATCACACCTCATGAAGACCTTCGAACGGCTGCTGCTCCGTGTCCTCAGACCCCAGGTTCACCACGCACAAGATCCACTGCAGTTTGGATACCAGGAGAAGATGGGGGTGGAGGACGCCATCCTCTATCTGCTTAACAGGGCCTACTTACATCTGGACAAGGAGAAGGGAGCTGTGAGAATATCATTTTTTGATTTCTCCAGCGCCTTTGATACCATACGGCCGCTCCTGTTGAGTGACAAGCTGATAGAGATGAGGGTGGATCCACTCCTGGTAACATGGATTACGGACTACCTCACAGACAGACCACAGTACGTCAGACTGAAGGGCTGGACATCAGACACTGTGGTCAGTAGTACTGGAGTGCCACAGGGGACCGTGCTCTCTCTTGTCCTCTTCACTTTGTACACATCTGACTTTCAATACAACTCCGGGCTCTGCCACGTACAGAAATACTCAGATGATACTGCGATAGTTGGCTGTATTAAGGATGGACAGGAGGGGGAGTACAGGAGCCTGGTTGAGGACTTTGTGAGGTGGTGCAGGATCAACCATCTACAGCTGAACCCCTCCAAAACAAAGGAGATAGTGGTGGACTTCAGAAGGAAGCAACCACATCTACAGCCTGTGTCCATCGACGGGGTGGATGTGGAGGTGGTCAGGACCTACAAATATCTGGGGCTGCAAATGGATGACAAGCTGGACTGGACAGCAAATATGGACACTCTTCTCAGGAAAGGGCAGAGCCGTCTGTACTTCTTGAGAAGGCTGAGGTCTTTCAACATCTGCAAAAAACTCCTGCTGATGTTCTACCAGTCTGTGGTGGCTAGCGTCCTCTTTTATGCTGTAGTTTGTTGGGGAGGAAACAGCAAGAAGAGAGACGTCAGTCGACTGGACAGACTGGTAAGGAGAGCTGGCTCAGTAGTAGGCTCAGAGCTGGACTCTCTGGCGATAGTGGCAGAAAAAAGGACCCTGGACAAACTGCTGTCCATACTGGACAATGCCAACCACCCTATGTATAACATCTTCGCCAGGCAGAGGAGTGTGTTCAGTGGCAGACTGCTGTCTCAGCCTAGCTCCACCAACATACTTAAAAACTCTTTTGTCCCACTAGCCATCAGACTGTACAACAGGGAGGATAATAGATAATTGGACAATTTTTCTACCTTCCACTTACCTGTACTTCTTGTACTTCCATCTGTATCTGTATGGTTTACCTACATCTCCACTCCATTAGCACTATTTACTGTCTTTGCACTGCTTACTGTGGCTACGGTGTTATAAGGTAATTGTATTTTAATTCTATTTTATAGGTTTTAATGTATGTATATTTCTATGTATGTTTTTGTTTTTGTATGTTACTGGATACCTAAATTTCCCTCGGGATAAATAAAGTAAAAAAAAAAAAAAAAAAAAAAAAAAGATTTTTTCCCTAAACCTAACGTCAGTGGGGCAGAAGCAGAAAACGTACATGAGATTGTACAAATTCATATGAATTAGCCACCAATTCGCCAAAACATAAAAAAGTACAAATTGCCATGAGAGTGTGTTGTCCTTACCCACATTTCAAATCTGTATGCCTTTTTTTTCTGCGACACTGTGACACGCTGTGCATATGTGAGAACCAATGCATTTAAAAACAGTTTTTTTTGTTGTTAACGGCATTGGTATTTTCCTTATATTGGCACCACTCTCCCAGCTATCATGGAGGGTTAGAATTTATACCATGACCTTAAAATCCCACACAAGTACAAAGTTTTTTTTTTTTTTTTTTACTTTTGACATAAAGAGTTCCTTAAAATTGAGCCAAGAACCCTATAGTTCTATTTAA